CAATTTGCGGCCGGGGGAGTTATGTGGACTCCTCGCTGGGGACGTCGTCCCACCCGCAGTTGGCATCGGGCCGGAGTGCCAGTAGCGGTCGCCCAGTCTCGGGCCCTCCGACGACAATGGAGGCCCAGCCAAGACAGGCGCGCACGACGACAATGTCACTCTCGACCACGAGAACCTGCAGTTCCTGGGCCACCTCTTCGAGCAGCAGCGCAAGGGCAAGCTGCCGAAGGACCCGCTGTGGCTCTTAGATGGAGCTCGGCAACCTGATCGCGAAGGCCGTGAGAGTCTGTCACCTCGAGAAGGTCGGCATCGCGCTTTACAGCCTTCGCCACGCGGACCATTCCTGGGACGTGATCACCAACGGGGCGTCGCAGCTGGAGGTGCAAAGGCGCCGGCGTTTTGGGCCAGCGTCAGCTCACTCATCAGGTGCGAGAAGTCCAGCAAGATCAATGATCAAGTGGAGAAGCTGCCCCCCGACGTCCAGAAGCACCTCGGGCACTGCTGCGAGCAACTTGGCGACGTCCTCCCCGACAGGGTCCGCGCGCCCCGACCGTTTGGCCGGGGCGAGGCGACGTCTTCCTGGATGTCTTCGCAGGCGCCGCGGGGATCGGCATGGCCGTTAGAGATCGAGCTCGACCTCGGCACGGACATCTTCTCGCTTGGCGCGACGCCATCGTCGCTGAAAATGGTGAGTGTGGGCTGGGCGCGAGGAATGTTCATGGTTGCGCCGTGCCGCTCATTCGGTATAGCTGGAAGGGCTCCGCGTTCCTCTCTCTTGCCCAGCGTTGCCCGTTCTCCCGAGTGGATCTGGGGCTTCTTGGCTCACCCCACAAAGGATCAAAAGGTGCATCTTGAAGCCAACGGGCTTGCGAAAGTCACTTCCAAGCTCGTCCGGCAGGCTCTTCGATGCGACGCCCCGCTCATGATCGAAAACCCCGCCTCCTCCATGCTCTGGGACATGCTGTTTTTGAAGGTTCTCCACAGTTCGATGAATACGAAAATCGTTGTTTTTGACCAGTGCGAGGTCGGGACCGATTTCAGGAAGCGCCCCCCCCCCCATCCTGATGTCCTCAGATTTTGACGACTCCCCCTTGGATCACAAGTGCACTGGCAAGGCAGGCATGCGTTCACGCTCGGGCAGGCCGCGCGAACACCTCGACGGGAAAGAATCCGCCGGCTGAAAGAAACCGCCGTTCTGCGCTTGCGCATGCGTTCAGATCGTTATGGGCTCAGAAGCAGGCGGGAGGTGTTTCTTCTGTATCGAGTTCCAGGCCGCGATCTACGGCTTCTCCCTCCACAGCCCGCCCGAAGCCAATACATTTTGGAAGACGGGGGCTCTTTCTTCTGGATGGGGAATGAGAAGCAGTTTCGATCGATATTTGTGGCGTCTGGTGGCAAGCTGCGCAATGCATCGCTCTGGGATGTCATTCTATTGGCCGCGTTGAATCATCGTGAGAGTGCCTGCGCAGTAATGATGTCAGAGGGGCCGTTCTGTGAGACGAGTGGGGTGAAGATAGCAGGAGCTTCGCGTGCCTCGCCCATTGCCTCGCCCAACCTTCCCTGGGACACACTTTCCATCGTTTTCTGTGGCGTCTGGTGGCAAGCTGCGCAATACATCGTTCTGGGATATCATTTCATCGGCCGCGTGAAATCATCATGGTCATGATGCTGATGATGATGATGATGATGCTGGTGGTCACGGTGATGGTCACGGTGATGATGATGGTGCTTGCGATGACCACGAGGAGGACCAGGACGAGTCCTGATGATGATGATGATGGTGAGGAGGAGGAGGAGGCAAACGACGACGACGACGACGCGGAACAGAGAGTCACGTGTGACACCCTTCGTCTTCACTTCCGTATGGGCCGCATGGACATAGTTACCCTCTCTTGGCCCATCTTTGGGTTGCTACTCTACTGGCTCCTGAGGGGCACTATTGGGGGTCCTTCGGGGCCCTCTGAGGGCGCCTTGAAGCCCTCGTTGGCCATATTAGGGGGTCCCTGGGGCCGTCGTGCTCGTATGGGGAATGTGTTCGGGCCGTCGCCTGGCCGTCATCGTCATTATCACAACCGACTTCATAATACTAGCAACCACCCTCGCGACCTGCATGACTTTTCACCTCACGTCATCGTCACCAACACAACATCCTCTTGCCCACCACCGCCACGCCATGGTCTTCAGTAGTATCACCGTCATCGTGGTTCGCCGCGACTTTGAAATGCTGCATAATGTCGGTCTGCCATTGGGCATCTTCACTTTCGCAGGCCCGAAAATCTGACCTTGGGATAATTTTCGCCGGCGCACCACCCCGCACGACGTTTGCCCCCCCCCCCACCCACCCCACCCCACCCCACCCCACGTTAAACCAGGGAGGTGGGGTACCCCCCTGCGGGCACCCTCTGCTTTGCTGATTTCTTTGCACCACCTGGTCCGCTGCGCCCGCAAGGCTAATTTGTTTATCGTTCCATGAAGTCGGCGGTTTTGCTGCATGAGAGCTCGCCAAGCTTGCGCTTCACGTCTGGGCAACGTCAGAAGGAGGCGGATGAGGCGGAGGAGGAGGAGGAGGAGGAGGAGGAGGAGGAGGAGGAGGAATAGGAGGAGGAGGAGAAGGAGGAGGAGGGGATGGAGGGGGCGGAGGAGGAGGGGAAGGAGGGCGCGGAGGAGGAGAAGGACAGGATGTTCACGGTGTTCGTAGACTCGACCAGAAAAAATGAACGGTCAATCAAATCTGCGGTCGGTTTCCTACTCGAAGACTCGGGGCGGGAGGACGGGCCGAAGGGGGGCGAGAGGGCTTTGAGAGGCCCAGGGCCCCCCCGAGGTTCGAGACGGCACCTGGCCGTCGGAGGCCCCGAACGCAGGTTGCGTGGCCGCGCCTTGGGCCTCCGCGGGCGCACCCGTGGGCCTCCTACGGGAGACCTCGGGAGGCGCGCGGGTGGGTCGCGGGTGCCTCGCGGGTTGGTCTCGGGTGGGTCGCGGGGGGGGTCGCTGGATGGGTCGCGGGTGGGTCGCGGGGCGGGTCTCGGGGTGGCTCGCGGGGCGGGGCGCCGACGACGCCGACGCCGACGACGTTGACGCCGACGCCGACGACGTTGACGTTGACGACGACGACGACAACGACGACGACGACGACAAGCCCCAGAGGCCTCTAGAAGCCCAGACCTCTGGCGACTCGAGAAATGCTGGGTTCACCACCAGCTGGTGCACTTGATCCACCACCGTTCTCTCTCTCCCTCCTCTCCTCCTCTTTGTCCGTCTCTTCTCCAACCCATGGTGACGATGAGTACGCCTTCAGGGAAAATACGTATCGCTCCAGTCCTTCGACTTCCGCACTACTCTCACTGACAATGGGACGCTTGCCGTTCTTTCCAACCCTCTGTCTTTCGCCTCCTTTCGTGTGCGTGTGAGTGTGAGTTGTTTGTTCCCGACCCTCTCACCCCCAAGTGAAGCCTGCGAATGGGCAGCGTATTGCATATGTTGGACGCGTTCCGTACGCCCACTTGCCCATCCCGAAACGATGTCCAGACGAGTTTCCTTGATCATGGACGCGGGGGAGAGTGCAATAACATTAAGGGTTGGATAAGACGTCGTACCCCAAGTGGGGGAAGATGGAGGAGGAATCGGAGGAGGAGCAGGAGGGAGGATGATCGCGGAGAGGGGGAGGAGGGATGAGGGAGGAGGTGGAACATTGGATGATGAGGAGGAGGAGGAGGAGGAGGAGGAGGTCGAGCAGAAAGGCCAGAGGCCTCTTGGATGTCTCTCGGAATCTCTTTGGATTTCTTTCGAGAGCTTTTTGTAGTCCTTTGGGGGCGCCTCGGGGGCCATCTTGGAGGAGATCGATCAAATAAGGGGCCGTAGTACATTAGCCCCTCAGGAGGCCAACATGTGGCCAAAACCTTAGTTGTATCAATGATGTCGGCCTTCTCGCCGAGGCCTCTTGAGGCGCCTTTGGTGCCTGGGTTCCCCTGGGGGGCCTCTTGGAGCCTCTTGGGGGTCTCGTGAGGGCCTCTTGTCGGCATCATGAGGGCCTCTTGATGCCTCCTGGACACCTCTTTTGGTCCTCGTAGGGCACCCTTGGGAGCCTCGGGGGCCATCTTGTAGCCATCCTGGAGGAGATCGATCAAAGAAGGGGCCGTAGTACATTAGGGTCCCCCCCCTGGAGGCCAAAATGTGGCCAAAACCTTCGTACACTCAACGAGTTTGGCCTCCTTGCCGAGGCCATCTTGGACGCTCCAACCCCTCGCAGAAGGTCCCGTCCAGGTCCAGGGGAAAGTGGTAGTGGGAGAGGTAAGCATTCCCCCGAAGTGGAAGAGAATGGAGGTTGGAAGAGAAAACGCTCTAAACCACTCACGCCCTAAAGGGCTGATGGAATTTCGTTCACCATCGGCCACCAGGGCTGATAACTCAATGGTTTGCGCTCATGTGTGTAACACATGTTCCTATCGTGCGACAGGCCATCATGTTGTTCGCTCCGATCTGCTCCCTCCAACAGATACCAGAGCATGTCGTTCACCATCTTTCCATCTAGCTGCCCACCATGCCACCTTACCCAGGCCGTGAACCACAGTATTCTTAGAGGCCTTTTGCTTTTCGCTTCCTGATGCCTCCAAGGGGTCTCTTGAGCGCCTCTATGGGCCTCATGCGGGCATGCTGCTTCATTTGATGTTCGTTTTGGGAACCTTTCTGGGCCCACCTGACGGATCTGTTCGGCTCGAGTTCGACTCCAGTTTGATTATAGATCCATTCAAGTTCGAAGCAAGGTCGATTCAAGTCGATGGACGTTCGACGCAGCACCGACGCATGATTCGAGCGAGTAGCTCCAGGAGGGTCCCCAGAACGAACTTCACACATTTCGGCAAGAATCCGCACACGGAGCCGGAGCTCGAGCAACTCGGCTTGCCGACGGCTTGCCAAAACGGAGGTGCCAGTTCATGAGCCCTCTTTCTGATCTTATCCCGCGCCCTGCATTGGGATTGTGCGATGTCTATGTGCCATGCCAGGAGCTGACCGAGGAGGCTTCTGGGGCGGATCGCGCGAGGCTTCGGCATGCTGTGAGCACCAAGACGGCCGAGATCAGTGAGGCTCGTTGAGAACGAGGGACGGGGCAGTTGTGTTGCAGTTGTACAAAATATGCGTATTTCGTGGCGTGTGCATCTTGGGCTCGGGCAGTGGCATCCTGAAGCCATCGGGAATTGGGGCTACCTGGACCCAAGGAGCTCCCATTCAAAACGCATGCTCATAGGGCACAACCCAAGACCAATCACTGCTGTCAGTAATTTGGGATGCCCGTGAGGCGCTCTCGAGGCCTCGCCGCGGCCTGTTCAAAGATCCAGGGGCGAGGAGGCCAGAAAGTGGGAGTTCTGGCATGCGCGCCAGCTCCACTGCCTGGATGGATTTTTCAGACCAGGGCAGGAAGCTGGCTACACACGCGAATGCTGGCCGAAGAAGCTGCCGATGTCCGTCCCAGAGCGCAGGCCGCGGCGCACATCCTCCCAGAGCCGCCGGATCTCAGAGATTATCGTTTTATCCTCACCCGAACGTGTCATCGTCCTGGCTTCGTCTTCATGCTGGGCGGGGATGCTGTGGCAGCGTGTTGGGAGGGCGCGCGCCGGGCGTCGGCCGGACCTCTGGGGCCCCAGAGGGGGGTGCCCGAGAGGCCTGCGTGCTCCCCGCCTCCGCCCAGCCCCGAGGGCGCAGCGGGCGTCGGGCTCTTTGGGTCTGCTCGCGCGCCCGTGGCGTGACGGCGCTCTTCTCAGCGAGAACCTGAGTCTCGATTCGGAGGATCGGCGGCGAAGGAGGGGGGAGTGGGAAGGAGAAGGCTTGCTCAGGAGGTTCGGAAGCCCCCTGGCCCTCTGAGAAGTGTTGGAAGTCTTTCCGAAGACACCAGAAACCTATCAGAGGGCGCGAGGGCTTCTGAGAAGTCCCGCCACCTTCTGAGAATGCTCTCTCCTTATCACGTCCCCCCGTCGCTCGCCGCCGAGAGGATCCAGAAGTCCTCAGGATTATACGCTCCAGGATGTCCAGGAGGTCCCAAGTCTCTTGATGCTCCCCGGGCGCTGCAGAGACGAGGCCGCCGGATGCTCCCTGGGAGTCCTGAAACGTATCTTGGTCCCATCCGATCATGGCATCATCCTCGTTCCATCAACGGCGCCAGCCTGTGTGGCTCCTTGCTAGTTCATGAGGTCCCGGTGCCGTCCGTCGCATTCGCAGGTGCCCCCATTGGTGCACGCGGTGCGCAGTGTGCGTGCGCCGCGCGGCAGCCATGTGCCTGACGAAGAGGACCAAGAGCTTCCGAAATGTGGCGCAGGCACAAGACGGCGCGTTGAGCTGCGCGCCGCAGAGAGAGCTCTAAGGGGCCCAGCTGGACGCACACGGCGGCCAGAATACTCGTGCGGCCGGGAGCGCCGACCCTCCGCTTGTTTCTCCTCTTCCTCCTCCTCCTCCTCCTCCTCCCCCTCCTCCTCCTTCTCCTCCTCCTCCCCCTCCTCCTGCTCCTCCTCCCCCTCTTCCTCCCACTCCTCCTTTTCCTCCTCCTCCTCCTGCTCCTCCTCCTCCTCCTCCTCCTCCTCCTCCGTGTATCCAGCTCGCGGAGGGCACCCGCGCGTTCCCGGTGTTCGCCTGCCTCCTGGCTGAGGCCCGCTCGTGCTTGTTTTAAGTCCGGCCTGTCCCTCTACACAGGAGGAGTAATCAAACATAGTCAAACAATAGTATCGGGACGATGTCTTCACTATTTTTGGAATTTTTGGGGGCATGGTTTGAGTATTTTCTATGTTTCGTCCAAAATCCGCCTGTAGGAGGACACGCCCGGCCTAATGCTCGCCGGGTCGCACAGCACGCTCGCTTGTACGGTAGGCTGGTGTCGTTTGGAGCCGGCTTGGGGTTTGAAGTGGCCCAGCGCTGGTTTTGGCCAGCAGGAAGGGGGGGGGGCGAGTGTTGCGGCGCCGGGTTCGGAAAGGCGTTTGTTGCCTTGTTCTGCATCCAGGGCAGTGTTCGGGCCCATGGACCGTCAAGAACGCATCTGGGGCGAACATGATCGGCCCACGAACCTTGGAAGGGATTTAGACACACGAGGCATAGTTAATTACGTTTCCAAGGCACGTGATTGGGCGGCAATGCTGAAGGTATCGAGCGTGATGAACCGTCCCAGAGATTGTGTTGTGCTGTGCCGTGCTGAAATGAGATGTTCCATGCCGCGATGACTTGCGCTGTGTTCTAGTGTGTAGTAGATCAAGTCGCCCTTGGAATCCAAATCCTGACCGGACTGATCTGGATCTTAAGCTCGAGTTGCCTGAGCGAATAGCTGGCCGAGAGATTGTTGCAGTCGAAACATGTTGGACGCTCAGTCAGCTCGCGCTCTAAATCCAAGCCAGCTCCGAACCGGGACGAGACGACACGGGGTGCAGGGCGCATGGACGCGCCACGGGGTGTGCCAGGGGCGAAGTAGGGGCTGCGCCAGGGAGCGTGTCAAGGGACGTGGCAATGGACGCGCCACGGAACGGGCAGGGAAAACGCCAAAGGGTAATTTTCACGCTTGTCCCGCTCTAGGGCGTTGGGAACCCACTTGTTTCCACGCTTGTCCCGCTCCGGGGCGTTAGGTCCAAAGTGTCTTCGCGCTAGTCCCGCTCTTGGTTGTTGGGAACCCTTGTGTGTTCACGCTTGTCCCACCCCGGGCGTGGGGAACCCATGCGTTTTCACGCTTGTCCCACTAGGGGGCGTTGGAAACCGACGTGTTCTCACGTTTGTCCCGCTCCAGGGCGCCAGGAACCCAAGTGTGTGCACGTTGGTATCGCTCTGGGGCGTTATGACCCACTTGGTTTCGCGTTTATCCTTCTCTCGGGCGTGACGAACCATGCTTTTTCACGCTTGTCCCTGTTTGGCGCGTTAGGGAACAACGTGCTTTCACGTTTTTGTTCTCACCTGGGGCGTTGGGAACCTACGTGTCTTCACGCTTGCCCAGCTTTTGGGAGGTAGAATCTTCAGTTGTTCCACGCTTGTCCCGGCCTGACGCGCTGGGAGCCCACATGTATTCACACGTGTCCCGCTCTAGGGCGTTAGGAGCCCAAGTGCGTTCACGCTTATACGGTTCCACGCGGTCGTCTGGGCCATCCAAAGAGGGGGGCACAACAGCAAGGACACAAATCAATGAGTCGACACCAGATGAGTAGCAACTGGAGTCGTTATGATGGTGGCCCCCTGGGGGCTCCTGGGTCTCCAGGAACCGCTCGGGAATCATGCGTGTTCGCGTTTGTCCCGCTCTGGGGCGCTAGGGGCCCATGTGTTTCTAGGTTTGTCCCGCCCTGGGGCGTCAGGACGTTCGCCCCGCCCCCCTGCAGCTTGACATTTGGGGCGTTTTTCGGCCCCGCCGCCGCTGTCCCCCGCGCCCACCTCTTCCTGGGCGTGGCCGCGACGCCGCCCCGTGCCCGCTGCCAGGGTCGCAGCACTGACTTGGCCGCCCTGGCTGCCCCGCTGCGGCCCCCGCCGCGTGAGCGCACCAGTTCCTTCCCATCCTCCCGCGGCCGCTCCTCGCTTCCCCCGCGCCCCCTTTTGGAGCCGGACAAGTCGCGATGCCGTCGCCCAGCTTGCCCGAGCGCGTGCGGACTGCTTCCGCCGCGCAGCGATCTAAAACAGGTGTTTCACGCTTGTCCCGCTATGGGGCGCTGTGAACCCACGCGTTTTCGCGTTTGTCTCGCTTTTGGGCGGTATACGAACCCATATGTTCTCACGTTCGTCCAGCTCTGGGACTTGTGATCCTCGTGTCCCCTTAGGGATCACATTAGTGAAAATGGTGCGAACAAAAATAATGGTTCGGTAGGTTCTAAGATAAGTGGTGTTTTTTCTATTGTAAATGAAATTCTAAAAATGGTTTTATTTTCGACGACTTGGTCGTAGGGATGAGTTTCTGAGAGGGCCCTCGCAGTGGCCGCGTGCAGGGTGGGCCCCGAGCGAGCCCAGGCTGGGCATGCCCCCCATGCTTATAGATTACCCAAGGAAGGGCTACCCTAGGCCTACCCCTAGGGTCTACCCCTAGGGGTACCCTAGGCCTACCCCTAGGGCTACCCTAGGCCTACCCCTAGGGCCTACCCCTAGGGGTACCCTAGGCCTACCCCCAGGGTCTATCCCTAGGGCTACCCTAGGGCTACCCCTAGGGCCCCTAGGGCCTACCCCTAGGGCTACCCTAGGGCTACCCCTAGGGCCTACCCCTAGGGCTACCCTAGGCCTACCCCTAGGGCCTACCCCTAGGGCTACCCTAGGCCTACCCCTAGGGCCTACCCCTAGGGCTACCCTAGGGCTACCCCTAGGGCCTACCCCTAGGGCTACCCTAGGGCTACCCCTTGGGCCTACCCCTAGGGCCGCCTTTGCCGGAGGAGAAGCACGAGGATGAGGGGGAGGAGTACCGAGGAGGAGGAGGAGGAGGAGGAGAAGGAGGAGGAAGGCGCGCCCCGCCGGGCACGCTCCAGGCCCAGACAGTGTCGTCGTCGTCGTCGTCGTCGTCGTCGTCGTCGTCGTCGTCGTCGTCGTCGTCGTCGTCGTCATCGTCGCCCTCCGCCTCCCCCTCCTGCTCCTCCTCCCCCTTCTCCTCCTCTTCCACTCCCACTCCGCCACAAAGGGCATCAATATGTAATCCGCCAGCAAAGCAAGCAATGCCTTTAATGTCCCGCCCGCCCGCCCGACCAAAAGAATCAGCTTGTAATCCGCCACAATAGTAATCAACTTGTAACCCGCTGCCACATGGAATCACTTTGTAATCCGCCACCAAAGCAACCAATGCTTTTAATGTCCCGCCCGCCCGCCCGACCAAAGGAATCAGTTTGTAATCCGCAATAAAAGAGAATCCATTCGTAATTCGCCACACAAGCAATCATTGCCTTTAATGTCCCGCCCGCCCGCCCGACAAAAGGAATCAATGTGTAATCTGCCACAATAAGAATCAGTGTGCCACCCGCCACACATGCAATCAATGCCTTTAGTGTCCCGCCCGCCCGCCCGACAAGAATAATCAGTTGATAATCCACCACACAGGGAATCAATATATGTAATCCACCACCAAGGCAACCAATGCTATTAATGTCCCGCCCGCCCGCCCGACCAA